AAGATCCATTCTTTAATTCCACTAGTTCATGCCTTTACATGCTACTTCCAAGAATTCGAATCATTCTCATTTCCTTTCTATTCAAAATGTAAAGAGAAAGTTCCACTAAGACTTTTTCATCAAGAACTGCTTTGTACAAGAGACTCCTACGTGGATGGTCTCCTGGAAAGTACATCGCTCTGTCGGTTGGGGCTTCATGATACGCCGACTACACTTCTGCAGAGGAGTAAAAAAACCCAACCCCAGTAAGGCGCCCTTGATATGATCCGGCAGCAAAGCCTCTGATCAGGATGTTTTAACGAACATGGAACCGCCTCTTAACTGCTGGTGTTCCCAGGTCCACCCTCACCCGGAGTGGTAGCACCTGTTAGGATCTCAGCTATGAGCTAATTGTTAAACCCAAACTGGGGTCAGAACACCATGAAAGTGTAAAAATAGGTTCGTATAGTAAAAATAACAGCAATACATATCTGGAAAAAAATATTACCAGCAATATATTTTTGAAAAAAAAAATCTTACTGGCAATTAATTTGACTCTCGACAAAAAAAAATCTATTTACAAAAAAAAGTATACTATTTATACAAATCTATAGTAAACATTTTGTCGGCATTAAATAACCCATTGAGATTGATATGCCGTAAAACAAAACAAATTGAAAACTAGAATTTAATCTCTTTAATTCAAAGAGCAGGGATCATTTATCCTCTTTATTAATATTTTTTTAATCGGTATCATCCCATGTAAAGCAGTAAAGCCATTAAGACACAAGGATTTACAGGGTGTGGGAGAATTAGGAACAGAAACATTAATAATGCGCAGGTAGCGATTGATGTTGCATTTAAATTCTTGCAATCTAAACTTGGCTGGAAAGCATGCAGCCGGAAGGGAGTTCCAGAATGTATGAGAAAAGAAACTATTAACATAGAATTTACGGATACATCTATAGCCAGCACAATGGTAAATTGACGGGATCTCGACTTCAGTCTAGTCCTGCTTTTAAATTCAAGGTTTAGGTACCATAGCGAAGAGCTCATCCGAACAATTACCATGAAAGTAGAAAAAACACAGAGAAGCAAATTTACGGCGATAGGAAAGGGTCTAAAGCCGAGCAACCTTATCAGGACCAATAATATTGCTGATTCTTTGGATTTTATCAAACAGCTCAAGGTAAATTGCAGGGGCACAGGAGCAAAAATGACAACAATATTTTAAGCATGGACGAATGCTATATTTATGGAGATTTTGCTTTCTGCCACTCGCCATTTAAGGATTTCTGGTAGCTCCTGCGAGAGAGTCAGGACTTACAGAAATGGCCTGTCTTGATTAACTTGAGAATGTGTTTTATCCATTTCTTTTTTACTACCAGTTTCTGGCTACAAATTACTGATGTGTCTTGGAGTCCTCACAGTAGAAAATAGATGAATTCGGTATTCATCAGTTAACTGCTAAGTAGTAAACATGAGAGCTACAACCGAACTGATTTTCTATTTATCTTTCAATCTTGTCATCGATTTGGGCTTGTGATATGTATTTAATGAAATACACAAATGAGACAGGATACAAAAAATAACAACTCATCTCAAATATTTCAACAGTCGATTAGTTTACCGATAGAGATTGACTAAAACATCCATGAAAAACAAAGTCTTTCATTTGCAATTTATAAATGAAGATAACGGAACACATGCCAGAAAATATATGAGAAAAAACCTTCTGGATCCATTATTTCAAAGTTTCCCAAATAAACTTCAACATATCTTCTAAACACACCGGCTTAATTGTGCAAACGTAAAGTGTAACACTGAAATCCGAAGCGGAAAATCTGAAGTTCTAAAATCTTAGAGTATTAAGAAATAGAAAAAAACTTTGTTAAAAACAAAGAAAAGACTACTGAACTGTTACAAAATATCTGCCCCTCACTATAGGGCAGTGAATACTGTAAAATCTCTTCAAAGATGAAGAAAAGACTTGAAGCAACAGAAATATGGTTATAAAAAGGATGCCGAAGATACTATGGATTAAATATGTGAACAATGACGAAAATTTAGAGAAAATGGGAACAAAAAGAAAACTTATATTTAACATCAACAAGAGACAATAGAAATCTCCTGGGTAGATAATGAGGAAAGAGGGCTTGGAAAATCGGATATTAACAGAACAGATTGATGGCAAGATAGACAAACAAAAACAAAATTTAACATACTTAATGAGCTTGAGTAAATGGATGGTGGAAAAAAAGGTTTTTGGAGAAATAACAGACAAAATTTATAAAGAGTTAAAACGAATAGAACCTTTTAAAGATCCATGATCGCCTACATCCAGACGGAACACGGCACATTAATATAGAGAACAAAAAATAACTTTTTGTATAAATTTAAAACCATCCAATGACGTGGCAGCATTTTAATGGATATAGTCATTTTAAGAAGGCCAAGATGACCTGCTGAATTTCATTAAATGTATTATAATGGAAACAAATGTATTTTAAGAATAATTTGAACGCATCATGGCCGTCGGTGCCTATGCGTATTTCAAAAACTGCAGTTCTATTAGGATTTTCACACGGAACTATTTCTATTCTTTACAAAGAATGCACAGAAAATATTATGGGTGTAGTAATTCTGTAGCTTCAATAACAGTTGTTTACACCAGAAGTATACGGAAGAGCATTACTGAAAGCGCATCGCAACACGCCTAACGTTGCACGTGATAGACTAGAGCATAAAAAAGACCAAGCCACATATCGCTCCTATTAGAAGAAACTGATGTGGCTACAATTCACTAAGGATCATAAATGAGGGACAACAGAAGATTGGAAAAACGTTGTCTAGTCTCGTGAGATTCAAGTTCCGCTACAAGTGTATGAATCGAATCCGTCTTGTATCAAAGGTTAAGGCTGATGAAGGTTGTGTAAAGTTATACTGATTATGTTCTGGGAAACTTTGGGACTGTTGATACCAATAAAAAATTCATTTAAATGTCGCAGCCTAACTTTGTATAGAGGCTGATCCCGTGTCTCAGTTCATGGCAGCTGTCCACTTATCCTCTGTTGCTTTAGAAGAACAACATACCGTGTCACAAATGAAACAAAATAGCGGTAGATTGGATCGGAGAACAAAGTAGTGTGTTTTCTCTCGTAAAATGTCCTTCACAGTTATCGGATCTTAATATTATGTTTTTTGTTTGCTTATTTTTTGATGGGGCGGGGGGCGAAAAGGATGATTAAAATCCTGAATGTGCATCCAACGAATCTAGAAGAATTGTGGGATGCCACAATAAGAACACTGATCCAAATTTAGAAAGAACTAATGCTTCTAGAACAAGGACGAATCTATACTTAGAAGAATTGAAGTCGATCAAAAAGCAAAAAGGAGGCCAACCCGGTACTAATAGCGTATATCTTATTCAGTGAAAATTGAGATTATATCTTCTTCTTCTTCTTCTTCTTTTTATCTTTTTATGCCGTGTCTCTTTGATTCGTAGGCGAACATGGCTCTCCACAATTTCCTGGCCTTTTCAGCTTTCAAGAAAGTCGTCTTTAAACCATCCCTCCCTCATCCTGTCATCCATTTATACAAGCTGGATAGGTAGTTTATTCCCTGTTACCATCTATCACTCTTGCGTCCGCACGGCTTATCGGTGTCAAATTTGTCAAACACACTTTCCTCATCATTTACCCTAGACATTTCAACTGCCTCTTTCTGATTCCATTTTAAAATAACAGAAAGCAAAATGTAAATAATGGACTTCGTGTTGAGACATCGAAATCCGCGCACTAACGTTGCAGTTATAAAATGAAAACATAATAGTTGAAAAAGCAACAACTTGAAAAATATAAATTAAATAAATCATAAGATTATCGTCAGCACCTCGTAACTGAATTGGTACTTATTACCCTGAAGGTAAAAGCAAGGTGTATTTTAAAAGGAATTGATTATGAAAGCTCGTATGTAGATTCGATTGTATGTTAGTTTGTCGTTGGATTCGGTCATCAAACTTCACTTTTTCGAGTATAGATCAGTGAAGGGAAAAGATAAAAGTATAGTCTGTTGAAGCCCGAAGCAAATTCTACAGACACATTCATCTGTCAATTGACTGACTAGTCTCTGCTGATGATAACATACATTTTGGACGAGGAATAATGAGAAAAAAGCAGTAAGTCTATTTACATTGCTTCAAGAGTTTAGTCTCTGTTGGATTGGAGTTTAGAAAAGCAAATATTTAATAAAAGGAGGGGGAAAACTTCAAGTAAGGAAAGAAAAATGTAACGTAGACATTCATTAGTTTCTTTATGTTACTCAATTAACGAATGCAATGCGTTATTTTTAAGATTCGAAATCAGATGAATCATGTCCCTGAATGTAAACACGAAGCAAAGAACACCTTCTCTCTAAGGATTAAGTATGTAACCAAATTCGTAAAGCCAACTATTGCAACAACACATATATATGTATATGCGTGTTTGGTTATGTGTGAATGAGTCTGTGTGTATGTGCAAAAAGTGGTGGTACAAAAAGTTAATGGCGAAAAACTTTTACACATTTAACACACTTACTAAAACCTGATTAAATAATCATAAGTCAGTTTGATTTTTTGTTAAACATTTTTTTTTTCTTTTTCCCTTTCTTCAGTCTGGAACAGTTTTCACGTCTGGCCAATACTTCGTTTTTAGCACCTCCTAGTGCGTAGGTAGATGAGACCTTCGCACAGTGTTTAGCGGCGCTGAATGTGGGACTGGTGTGTCGAGTTCAACTCCAAGCCAAGGTCGTTGCATTCGCATTCGCCTAAATATTCTCGAAAAAGCATGTATTTACATCCTCACCCTACACCCCGCACTAAGTCCCAACAGCATGACAGACTGGGTTCACCACACTTGCCTTGTAACCAGACGGGAAGGGAAACTGTAAACTAAATCCTACTGTTTATGGGAATAATATCACCAACACCTAACAGTGAGGAGGATTTCACTACTCACATGGACTTACAGAGATAATTATTG